GCATATCATTCATTTCGCACAAGTCAAATTGAACCCACCATGGACACGGATGACTGTGACAATTTCCGATTCATTTGAGAAACATCAAGTGATCATCCAAAAAGGGAGACTTAACCAACTGATATTTCAAACAATCATAAACAAAATCGGAAATCAAAGCTAGAAATCAGGATAATAACTCAAAGTCAAGAAAGTATTTCATATAAGAAACTGTACAACAATGGGAAGAAAAAAAAAATATTATTCTCATATATACTGAAAGTAATATAATCCTATAGTCAGTCAATAAATAGATTTTTCAACGATCGAGAAGATTCATTTCATACGCACATAATTGTCAAAAATAACTCACAACTGTTTCCAGTTTAAATATTTCCATTCATAGATAAAATTGAGAGTAGTATTTGGGTTAAAATTAAAGAAGATAAGAATGATCTTGTGCAAGTTGCCCATTTGGCATGTGCCTGCACGGACAGATGTCAATACCTCATTGGCGTCAAGCTGGACGCCTCGCTGCCAATCAGAAATTAGTGTTTTCGAATTTACAGAATAAAATAATTTTATTTATTTATGTTTTACACTGTAGCGAAAAAAACGTAAAAGAAACCTAAAGTCAAATATAAGAGAGCGTGGGGTCTCTCAACATTCTCCAGAGAAGCCGTCTCTTCCTCCTCAAATCTCTCAATCAGTTTTTCTTCTTCTTCTTCGATGGCGAGCCGTTGGTTGAGACCTGAGGTACTTCTTCCATCGATCTTCCTAATCTTTTGATTTCCCTCCTCTATATCGATTCCATCAATTGTTTCTCTTCCTAAACGTTTAGATCTGGAATCGATTCTTCTAAGATTTGGCTCCTGTGATTCAATACGTGTTTCGTTGTCCTCAGGTTTATCCTCTGTTCGCCGCTACCGGAGTTGCCGTTGGGATCTGCGGCTTTTCGTTGATAAGGAATATCACCGGAAATCCTGAAGTCAGGTTTGTTTCTTCCTCCTGATTGATTGACTGACTCTTATGAACGGATTTGGTGGCTGTCTCTTGTTGACTAACCTCATGAAGATCAAAAACGAAGTCGTTTAATCCAGATAGATGATAGAGACTGTATACGAAATGAAAACATTAGCCCAAGTTCTATAAATAGGAATTGACTTGTTTGCCGGATCATTCATATGCTTTTGATTGGGAACAAGTAGTGGTATAAGATTTATATGTAGCATTAGGGTTTGTTTTTGGAATCAGTCGGTTTCTTTTTTCTCGAATCGTGCAGAGTATCCAAGGAGAATAGGGCTGCTGGGATTTTGGATAACTTTGCAGAGGGAGAGAAGTATAAGGAAAATTTCCTAAGGAAGTTTGTTCGCAACAAGCATCCTGAAATCATGCCTGGAATCAACAAATTCTTCACTGATCCTAAATACTGAAATAAAATAAAAAAAACATTTTGCTTTCATGTATTGTTTCTGGAATTCAATCCCTCGGTCATATAAACCTCGATTTGTCAACTTCACATTGTCATGTATCCTCCAGCCGAGACTACTTCTTATGCTGGGCATGTGTTGTCACATTTAAGCAGAAAATAACTATTTGTATGAATTTTGCTGTTTTGAAACTAAACTGCAGTGTTTAATAAAAGAATCTCATGTTTGAGAAAAATAAGCTCTTACTCTCTTGATACTTGTCGTGATTTTCACGTTGAGCCACATTTTGTTTCAAGATGTGGACAACCACGGGGACAATGGGAATTTGTGACGGAAAACATCGTCCCAGAAGATAGAATCTTCTAAATGTGTCACGAATCCAAATAAAACAGCAATTTGTACAGGATTGTGAACTTTTTCCTAGTTTAAAAGAATAGACTCAACTCGGTATTGAATTTCCGAACCAAGAATCAGGGGACACGAAATATATAAATCTGAAAGTAAGGCTATAAACAGCCAGAATCTGCTGTGACAAAACGGACAAATAGATAATTAATGGTGTACAAAGGTTATATATTCGTATTGTACCTGATGGGAGACATTCTCTCTCAAAGAGCTTTTGAGTATTGAGTTGAATAAAACTAGAGAGGAAAATGCTCGACATCCATGGAAGGGAAACCCGTTTGCGCCATTCTGATCCCTCTGAGTAAGCTCTTTGCCTTCTCTTTCTCCTGAAAACATAGAATGCAATCTTGTCACACACTGTATAATAAGTATTTCCTTGCAAACTAAACAATGGAGAAAGCTGGAACAAAAGACTTACGGGGCCACTATAATCGAGAAGACGGGTGCAATACACTTCTGCTTCTTCAAATTTCTTGTGAGTTTTGAAATGCGTAGCAAGAAAAACCAAAGCCTCAAACATGTTCGGTCCTTCTAATCCTTCAGCATCCATTCTCTCTAAATCCTTCTCAAAGTAAAATGCAGCTTCCTCATTACGTCCAAGCTTCTGGTGAAGCTTTGCCAGCTGATTAAGAGCTATTCCTTCCGTGTCAGTACAGTTCACAGCTCTTTTGTAACACTTGATGGCCTCTTCAAGCATGTAAAGCTGTTCGGTTTGATAACATTTTGCCATGGCTATCCACAATCGAGAATCATTTGGAAGAAAGAATATGGATTTGCGAAAATAGTGAAGTGCATAAAATGGCATCCCCATCATCTCATAAGCTTGTCCTAACCCATACCAAGCTCGATAATCACATGGGTTTATATCAACAGCTCGTCGATAAGCATCAATGGCAGCAGGTGTGTTCTTCATCTCAACATATTCATGGCCCATAAGAGTCCACGCAGATAAGTACTTCTTGTTCAGTTTCAAAGCTCTCCGGAAGTACATGACTGCCTTTTCGTGCTGCCCCTTTAAACTGTAATAGTTGCCAATGATGCAGCAAGACTCAGGTCTGTACTTATCAGTCAAAAACACCTTGTGTGCAAGGTAGCTCAGCGCAGCACATGCTTCTTTTGCATACAGAACATTAGAATACAAATCCATATCTTCCACCCGATAGGGATCATTTCTCAGAAGTTCTTCAAACATGATTTCAACCTGGTCAAATTCCCTCAGACTGTACTGAGCTTTTGCAGTTTGAGCTTGGATGTAATTGCTAAAACTGAAAATACCTTGCAGATAGTCGTACTTCGCCAAGGACTCGCTGTGCATTCTGAGTTCTTGATAAGCATTGGCAAGAAAAAAATCCTTCATCCAGTGATTGCTTAGATTAAGGCTATTCAAGATTTCGATCGAAGTACAGAGGGACTGCAGCTCTGACCAGGCACTCCAGTTCCATGGATAGCTGTTCACAGACTCCACGAGGCTGGCACGGGCAAGACTTTCATTTCCTTTTTCTTTTAGAACCACACCATACAAGTATAATCCAAATGAGTCAATTGCTCCGGTCCTCTTCAGGGCTGATAATTCCCTCTCCAAAGATACCAGTTCACGGTTTACGGCATCACTCTTACCCAAAGGGCCTTCAAGTTCTATCATTTCTTCCTCTTTCCGTTTTTCTCCAGCCTTCATGGAACAATTACAAAGTGAATTACATGGTACTATTGGTCTCAGTGTAATAAATAGGTACATGGCATATATAAAACCTCACAATAAAGATAATTACATAAGCAAATCGTTGTCTTTAAACAGGAAGAACAACTTCCAACTAAGCTGCACTTAAAAACATATCTTTCCTGAATCATTTGCACACCCTAATATCTCTTGTATCCATAGAACATAATTGTGGCAGGTTTATCAGTGGCTTACTCGTGGAAGTTTATATTAACGGCATTTTTTTCCATTTAAACAGCCTACTAGCCAAGGCCAAAAGAACCTTTGCAAAACTTCAGAGCCACCTTCTAAAAATTCTTTCCAACACTCCACTCTAATGGAATACAGAACGCTCTAGCTAAGTCAGAAGGAAGAGATGGAAAAACAGAACATACCAGATAAAGAGCATAGCAACGCAAGAAAACTGATTTCTTGCTCATTTGATCACGAAGCACATGGGAAGCCCGTCTGTACTCTCGACAATCAAAGTAAGACTTTGCTAAAAGGTAAAGGTCACCATCAATCACTTCATCTTCTTCTGGGAAAGGAGTGGCCGCCTGAGAGAAGCCAACGGAAGGCTGTGGTGTTGAAATAGATTCATTGGTGCTGAACCTTCTCCGGATGCTAGAGCTTCCTCGCTGGAATCTCGTATTCGAAGGTGTAAAATTAGAAGGGTCTTGCTCTATCCCCACAAGTTGTTCTCCCGCCCTGCAATGGTGAAAGCCAAGGAGATGTCAGGTACGGAACTCGCAATACTTCATCACCATCGCAGTACAATGCGAATACTAAAAACAAAAAGTTATAACATTAATTCACAAATCAAAATCAGAAATTATCACTAAAAGAACACATTTTTTCGATTCAGTGTCGAGCTCAGACACGGATACACATCTCAAACATATCAGAACACAAAACCCACACAATCGCATGTCAATAATCCGAAGTTGGATGCATCCGATACCAAATTCGAAGTAACAGTGAATTCGAATCAGCAATTTCTGCTTAATCGACATCGGAATCCGATCAATTACAGTTTGCCCAGGATTAAAAAAGTAGCAAAACCCTAACGGAAATTAAAGAAATTTCATTTTCGATCGACCCGAAGCAGGAGTGAGCTCGAAATTTGCAAAAATGGGAGAGGATGCATAAGATTAGGGTTTTAAGAAACGAACCATTTTGCGGCGGAGTATAAACAACGATCACTAAGCTGTCGAATAGCCGCACGGATTTCGTTGCGACAACTCTCTTTAGAGACCATAGTAGAAGCAGAAGCTGTCTTTAACTTAAGTGTTCGGAAAGAATCGAAGAAGAAGATGAAGAATCTGTTCTTCGCCGTGGAGATTTCAGAGACATCGCTCCCTCCATCTAATCATTTTGAAATTACTGAGAGAAAGTGTTTCTTCGGCCCATTAATTATGCATCCTCAATTTTGGGCTTTTAAACAGGCCCATGAAACGAAACTATACACACATAAAAAATAACAATTTACACATAACTAATTGTGAAATCAGTGTAGTGTATTTATTTTATATCCCCACCATTCTGTAACATTTGCGATGGTTTTTTTTTTCTTTTCTTTTGCTCATAATTTACTCGGTACCAAATATAGTCTTTCGATTTAAAGAATAGCTATCCATCCCAAAAAGAGTTTGAATTCGGGGCACAAAGGAACCAACCCCTTGTGTTACCACTAAGTCACCACCTCTTTGATTATTTGCGATAGTTTTAATTTGGCATTTACACTGGCTTATGCAAAACTAATAAACAAAAAAAAACCTAACTTGGCTAATGAACGACAAACAAACATTTCTTTGTCATTATAAATTTAGAATGATCGTAATAATAATCAAAGTTAGACCGTGTTTTGCTTATGCATATAGTTAAAGTAAAACACCCATCATCCCACCATTTTAAGGGCATTCGAGTAAAGCTACTATAAACCATGATCGCAAACGCGGTTTTCAGGGCCATCTCGGCGAAGGTTAGGCATATGGTGGCCGAAAACCGATTTAATTTAATAATAACCGCTCAATAGATCGTAAAATTTTGAAAAAATATATTTTTCGTTTGTTTTAATTTTAAAAATCGAATTTGTGGTAGATTTATCAATTTTGTGTATAAATACAGTTTAATATAAGATTTTGGGAAGAAGATGAAGTATGAAAATCTATTTTACATTTCACTAAAGTTAGAGTTAAAATTATGACCAAAAACATCTTTAAAATTATGACCAAAACCACTGCACCAACCGGTTTTTATGAGTTTTCCTTGATATATATACAATAAAATCTTTTGACCAAAAAAAACAATAAAATCTATAAAATTCCCAAAATTATTTATCTTCAATTGATAAGGGCTAAGTCTACCTTCACCGTCCGATTAAAGACTAGCTATAATTTGAACATTGACTATAAGCAATCAAATCTTGGAAAATAATTAAATACATGCATTTAATCCGACTGAATCTCACATTAATTAGTCATAAAAAAAAAAACCAAAAACCAAAAACAATTTAAACCAAGACAAATCAGTGTTAAATCGTACCAAACCAAAATTCATTACAACTTTACTTCTTGAATTAAAATATACATCCAAATTATGTTTAGTTAGTAGTATAACATTGATTATCAAATGTGTTTATTTCGGTTTGCCCAATATAATTGGAAAAAAAAAAATAAACAGAACCTAAAACTATTGATTTCCTAACCGAAGAAAAAAACAAAAAACCAAGAAAATCAGACATGAACCGACCAGAAAACCGTAAGAGAACAGCTTTACCACATTTGGGAGGTAATGTAATGTATGTAAGGAAGAAGGAGAGAGAGCCAAAAACCTCTGAAATTCAAATTGGCGCTCAACGTATCTTCCCAAAACTTCCCCCCCCATTTTTTCGAATCTCTTTTTCGCTTAAATCCCTCCAAAAATCCCCTCACCTCAATTCCTCAATCAATCGAAACATGTCAGATCTGCCGCCGGAGAGATCGAAAATGGCCCTTTCTTCTCCGTATTCGACGCCGGAATCTTCTTCCTCTTTACACCATTCCTATAGCCGGAAGCAGAAATCTCTGGGCCTTCTTTGTACCAAGTCAGTATCTTTTCCTCTGTGTGTTTGCTTTTATTGAATTTGTTCTGATTAAGTTATCCGTTTTCCTCTTAGTTTCTTAGCTCTGTATAATCGAGAAGGAATCGAAATGATTGGGCTTGACGATGCTGCTACCAAATTAGGTTATTTCTCTTACCCAGTTTCCGATTTTTAGTTTTCATTTCCGTTTGCATCTGATTTTTGTTTTCCCCAGGAGTTGAGAGACGGAGAATCTATGATATTGTCAATGTTCTGGAGAGTGTTGGGGTGAGATTTGTTTCTCCTTCTCGAGAATTTCTTAGTTGTTTTTTGCTTAGAAGTTAGAAATGATGGGTCTGGGTCTAATTTAGGTTTTAACAAGAAGGGCAAAAAATCAGTATACATGGAAAGGATTTGCCGCAATTCCAGCTGCTTTGAAGGAGCTACAAGTGAGTTTCTTTCTGAGATTGACGTGAGTTTCTTTGAGTGTTTGATTTGTGAATTCTCATAGAAACAAGTGTCGACGTTGCAGGAGGAAGGGGTTAAAGACACTTTTCATCGTTTTTATACCAATGAGAATGTCAAAGTAGGTGATTTTGATCTCTGTTTTAAGTCTTGAATCTGTTGTCTTTATGATTAAAGAGGTGTACTAACTTTCAGGTATC